TTCAGCTCTCTTCTTCCCGTGTATTTGTTTACGAGGGAGCCCATGGGTGTCACAGCGTGTGCACAGTCAGAGACACCCTTCAGCTCTCTTCTTCCACCCTAACCTGAATCCCAGGGGTGGCACTCAGGCTGTCGGCATGGCAGCAAGGGCCACCTCGCAGGCCAGATCTCTACCAAGTGCTGAGGCCACAGGCTGAAAGTTTTGTCCAGAGCAAAGGAGATGTGGGTGATGCTCCTTGGGGCTTTTAAGCCCCACAGCGCAAGAAGTCGGAAGGAAAAAGAAGGTATAATAAAAATGGCAGGTCACCAAGGGTTGAGAGAATCTCACGACTCCAAAGTTCACTTACAACCCAACAGCTAGAAAAGTTATCACTGAGGTTTCAGAATCTTTGTTTTCATTTTTAATCCCCCACTCCAGGATTATGGAAATATTTTCAGAAAATTCGGTTTACATTGTACTTCAGCGTTACGACTTATCTTTTTATTCTTTCGAAGCATGCTGTCACACATTTCCCCATTTTATTAAAAATTACAGAGAAACACTTTGAGGCCGTGAGGCCACTCGTAATTTTTCTTATTAAAAATGTGGCAGCTTTATTACGGTGGTACATACCCGTAATCCTAACACACAGGAAGCTGAGGCAGGAGGACTGCTGAGTTTGAGGTCAGCGGACTACACAGTAAGACTCTCTCTAAACGAACAATACAAACCACCCCATGATCCCTTTAAACATAAACCTCTGTGCTTTAATACTAGCACGCAAACTTTCACTTGTAGATTTCCGTGGTCAGAATGTGGAGAATCACCTAATCCAAAGTGAGATGAACAGCAGGGAAAAGGACTGCTATAAGTAAGGCTTGTCGCCTTCCGTTGATCGCTGGAACCTACATGGAGAAGGAGAGAAGCTGATTCCCACCCACATGCCTCACCCACAACTAACTAAATGAAATAGTAACAGTAGATTCTTTAAAAAAAAGAGCTTGGGGAGTAAGATGGCTCAGTGGGTAAAGGTGCTTGCCACTAAGTCTGAGAAACCAAGTTCAATCCCTCGGCCCCACCCGGAGGAAGGAAAGAGGTGACTCTTGCAAAGTGTCCTCAGACTTCCAACGCATAAATAGATGTGATTTATACATGTCTGCATAGTTTTGCCTGTGAGTACTTGGGTGCGTGTCCACGTATGAATGTGAGGGAAGCCAGAAGCAGACTTCCGACTCCGGGGCTGGAGTTTTGGTGTTTGTGAGCGGTTCATGCGGCTGCTGGGATCCAAACTCTCATCCTCTACTAGGGAATAAGCACTCTATCTCGGAGCCATCTTTCCAGTCCCAATATAATCTCAATTATAAATACATAAATACATTAAAATATTTATTTTAAACCAGAATAATCTCCTAAAAGGTTTCGTTTGAACTGTTCAAAAATAACACCAATCACAGTACCAATAAAAAGCTTTGAAACATCTGAACAAAGGATACTGTTCTTTTTTCATTTTGTTTGTTGGTACTTTTGTGGGGAGAGGGTCTCCCCGTCTAGCTCATGCTCCACTGCTCCTGCAGACTGTTCTGCCTCGGTCTTCCAGTGTTGGGGTTACAGGCCTGCACCCCATACTGGCTAAGCATGGATACTCCAATTAAAAATAGAACACACGAAGAAAAGGTATATGCGGTGAGGGTAAAAGACCTGAATCCCATGTCCAGCACTCCTGTAAAACAGCGGTGGCTCTGGAATCCCAATGCTGGGGAGGCTGAGACAGGAGGCCTCTGCTCAACTTGGCTAGTTCCAGGCCAGTGAGACTTAATTAAGGTAGACTGTGATCCGAAAAATGACATGGTGCTTATCCTCTGGCTGCTACACGCATGCACATGCACCTGTACACACATGAACCCAGTCAGACCTGTCATGAAGAAGAGCCCAAAGGAGACTAGAAACTCTGTTCACACAGCTTCTCTGCTCTGACTCTCAAGTGACACCCGAAAGCGGCCTCTGAGTTACAATGACTTACTGTTTCTGGGATCCTGCAATGCCATTTCCTTTAAAAAACAAACAAACAAAAAACTCCCTTAAACGACTACCTACCATTTTTATTCACTTAAAACAAAAACAGAAAAAAAAAAAAAATCAAAACAGGATAACGTGTTTTGTTTTTGTTATGCCTGAACATTTTAATAACATTACAACAAATGAAACCTCCTTTCAAGTACTTGAATGTTCATTATATTATTATAGTAACCTAGGTAGGGAAAATGATGAGCACAATTTAAGCTTCATTAAATGTAATAAAATTAAGAAATCATCTCTGCTGGGTGGTGGTGGCACACGCCTTTAATCCCAGCACTTGGGAGGCAGGGACAGGTGGATCTCTGTGAGTTTGAGGCCAGCCTGGTCCACAAAGTGAGATCCAGGACAGGTGCCAAAACTACACAGAGAAATCCCCTCTTGAAAAAAAAAAAGGAAATCATCTCTTTGAAACCCTAACTAGACAATATATCAGAAACTTGTCTACACGAAAAAGTCATTCTGTTACAAAGGGAAGAAAGTTAGAAAGTTCTGTTATAAAGAAGAAAGTGGGCTATTCATAAGTAAACTGTATCAAACCTGCTTCAGAAATAACTTCACAACCAGACTATTGTTCAAGTTTTCACTAAGGGACAAAGGTGAAATTCCTACCAAACTACTATCCACATCCACTAGGAGACATGATTTGATGAAATGACAGAATAAAAACCGTGATCTAAGTCACATGTGCTATGGTCTAGAGAGAAAGGCAGGGGAAAGAGGGAGGGAGAAAGAACATGAGCGGATAAATGAGGACAATCCATAAATCCCAATCAGTTAAACTCCCAATCAGCACGGCCATGCAGTTTCTCTGAGAACAGTATTTCCTGAGTAGTGGGCTTTGATCCCTAACAAAGGTTTATGTCCAGGTCATCAGGTAAGAACGTGGCATCTTAAATAAATCATTAATTAGCCTTTGGTATTTTCAAAACCTTCGTGTCCTGGGTGCTGGGATTATGGCAGATGCATTTAGTAATTTCTTATCACTATTAGCTACCTGAAAAGCGACTTTAGCTCACCTGTCCCAGTGACACTCTTAGGTTAGCGAGGTCATCTGACGGCACCCTCTCACCCACCAGCAGTGCGTTCATTGGACGGAGTTCTGCTTCAGGATAAGCAGCTGTGAAGACTCACCTCTCGGCTTCTTGCACATGGGCGCAGACAACCCCAAAGAGCTTGGATGCAGAGCTAATAAGTGACAGTGCTGGGGGCAGCGGCTTAGGCACCGAGTCTCCTCCTACGTCCTTCTCATAGACAGAGTAGGGGTCATACTCTAGACTTCCACAAGCAACGCCATTACCAAGCAGGAGCTAGATGCGGGGAGAAAGGAAATGAGGGTTGGAAATCACTCAAGACAAACTCTCCTCAGAAACTATTCTAAAACCACTATACCTGTTCTTCAATAAACCGATGGTCAGTCTCTTGCAGCAAAGGACTTAGTATCAGAAGGTCATCTGGGTGACAAAGGGCTGGAAGTAAACACGTAGATGCTGCTGCTTGGGTATCAGGGGCAGTCAGTTCAGCAGCCAGCTCTTTGAGGATAGCACTGAGGTTCCCTGTTGAGTCAGAGAAAAAAAGAACAATTAGCAATTTAGCACTGGCTTTTGTACTTAAGAGTAGGGGATGAAGGAAAGCTCAGATGGACCAACTTTGAAGTCTGATTCTATGTAACTGCACGTCACATGAACAGCTCAGCTACGCCCAAGGCTAAGAACAGACAGAAACGACAACGTGAATATACACTTACAGCAGTAAGAATATGTCACCACTGTTTAAAATAAAAGTACATGAAATACAAAAGTAGATGAGTCCAATTCTTTGATGCCTTAAGCATCTAATAACTGTGTATTCTTTTTGCTTATATATATACATATATAAAGAAAATAAAAATAAAAAACAGAACATCTAGCAGGGCATGGTGGGACATGCTTTTAATCCCAGCACTTGGAGACAGAGGCAGGAGGCTCTCTGTGAGTTCAAGGCAAGCCTGGTCTACATAGTGAGCTCTAGGAGAGCCTGGCCTATATAGAGACCTTGTCTCCAAACAAAAGAGAACAACTAAACAAGGCTGGGTATGTAGCTCAGTAGTACAACACTTGCCCTACGTGTTATTATTATTTTTTTTAATTTTATTTATTTATTATGTATACAGTGAGTGTTCAGCCTGCAGGCCAGAAGAGGGCACCAGATCTCATTACAGATGGTTGTGAGCCACCATGTGGTTACTGGGAATTGAACTCAGGACCTCTGGAAGAATAGTCAGTGCTCTTAATCTCTGAGCCATCTCTCCAGCCCTGCCCTACGTGTTTAAGTCCCTAGGTTCACTCATTAGCACAAGAGAAGGAAAATGTAGCCCGGCAAGATGGCATACTCCCATAGTTCCATCTACTCAGGAGGCTGACAGAGGAGGATTGCTTGAGCCCAGGACCTGGACGGAGGTCTTCCCGGACATCATATCACAGTTTCATCTCAAAAGAAAAAGGAAGGCAGATAGGCAGGAAGAGACTTGTTTAACGAAAAGCAGAGACTGAAACTATTACACATTACTTATGGAAAATCAGCATCATCAAAGGAGGCACTAGTGCTACAACCCACGTCCCTGCACTGAGCACATGCTCAGCAAGTTCCTGCAGCAGCATGAACAATCTTATTTCAGCCATCTCCTGCATCCTTTCTGTCACGTTGAACTGATCCCAAACAGTGTAACACTCCATCCACAAACGTGTGATCACTAAAGTTAGAATGTTTTATCTTAACTATAACCTCACCATCATAATCTAATGGTTTAAAAATCACTAAACATCAAATATCTACTCTGTGCCCAAACTTGCAATTGTCTGACCAATGTGATTTTTGTTTGTTTCTATGGTGGAACACAGATCTATATACGGTCTACCTGTTGCAGCCAGGTTGATAGATCACAAGTATCTGAATCCCTTATCTTCCCTGTGTTTCACTTCACTATAAGACATTTGAAGAAACAAAATTATCTGTTCTATAGAACTTTCAATAGTCTGGCTTTTGCTGATGACAGCTCTCTGGTACAATTCAACAATTTGTTAATGTGTTATCCTTTGTTTTGGGTGGTTGACCTACGGGTAGCATTTCTTTTCTGGGTAGAGGTTGATGGGCAGTTCTCTGTTGCACACCAGCATTTATGAGACAGTTGGAAATCTGGACGCTGAATAGATATGACATGAAATTATGATGGTAAGATTATGTTTAAAACACTGTACTACTAAGCATAACAAAATGTATTAAAGACAATAGGTGTTATAAAACGTCCTAACAAATGCTCTGAGGTCAGATAAGCTGACCTCAGGAAGAGGATATGACTGCCAGAGATCTTAATGCAGCCCGACTGAATGCACTTCTACCCAGTATGCTCAAACCTCACTTCTGGAAGGTGCACTGCAGGTGCCATGGAGAAGCCCCACCTAGTCTGCAGTGCTGGGACCTGAACCCAGGATGGCCTGCACAAGCCAGCTAAGAAACCTGCCACTTTACCTAGAGCCCCAACCTCATTTTACTTTCCTTTGAGACTCAGGCTAGCATGACTATAATCTATAGCCCAGACCCTCCTGACTCAGTTTACAGGTTTGTGCAACCAGGCAGGGCTGACAGAATTGTAACTACAGCTATCATATGAGAGTAGGAAGCAGTTCCCTAAAAGATGGAAACAGAAGCTCTATTAAGCTTATAGACAGAATCAGAAAGGGTAGAGAGGGACCAAGGAGGGCTTAGCAAAACAAATCCGAGTTGGTTCAAGGAATGCTGGTGAGTTTAACTACCAGCACATGACACTCAGTAAAATGATTCTGTTGCCAGCACAACACGAAAGCTTGTTATGGAACATTCCTTTACACAGTGAAGATGTGTCACTCTGAATGGCTCAATAAAAAGCTGAATGGCTAATAGCTAGGCAGGATTTCCAGGCACAGAGGATGCTAGGAAGAAGGGCAGAGATTCCAGGATAGAGATCCAGCAGCATGGGTACTACAAAGTAAAGAACATATATTAAAAGATATGGATTAATTTAAGTTATAAGAGCAAGTTAGAAACAAGCCTTAGCTATTGGCCAAGATTTCATAAGTAATAATAAGCCTCCATGTCATTACTGGGGAGCCAATGGTCCTGACAAAAAGTCCACATACAAAGTTATTTTTGTTGCTATACTTAAGTATGAAAATATTTCTCAGTTACAGTGATTCCTTGCATAATTGTTTCTGGGAAAAGTACTCAACCACATCAAACCTAAGATAGCAAATAAAAATTAAGAACTCAAAATTCTATTTTACAACCTTCAGAAAACTAAGTCAGCCAGTCTGTTTCTGTCCTCCTCCTCCTAGTTAGAGCCCTACCCTGTAGCCCAGGCAGCCCTTGTCCAGAGGACCTGGTTTAAGTCCCAGTGCTCACATGGCAGCCCACAACTGTCTGTTAACTCCAGATCCAGGGCATCTGGCGGCCTCTTCTGGTCTCCTTGGGCACCAGGTACACACATCTGTGCACAGACACACATGCAAGCAGGGCAAAACACCCCCACACATGAAGAACATGAAGACCTTTCTATGTAAAAGGCAAGTTCTTACTTACAGGTCTTACAAGATCAACATCTGGTGATACGGTGCAACAACTGATAGAACTAGAACTTCACAACAATTTTCTTTTCTTTCTTTCTTTTTGTTTTTGTTTTTTGAGCTAAGGTTTCTCTGTGTAGCCCAGGCTGTCCTCGAACTCACAGAGATCTGCCTGCCTCTGCCTCCCGAGTGCCGGGATTAAAGACCTGCCTCACCAGGACTGGCTCTACAGCTATTTTCTTAATATTATTCTCCAAACATTGTCATTGAAGACTACTTTCCTCTGTGTTAAAGAATCAGAAGTCATTATAGGTTATTATTGTACTATGAGTTATGTCATTTAAAAAGCCAATGTATTTTTATGTATGGTATATGTGTTTGTATGGATGCATGTAGGTATGCATGCTCTTGCATGCATGCATGCTGCAAGGGAGTGTTGGAGAGGTCAACACTGTTATCTACCTCAATTGCTCTTCACTCTTTTTTGAGACAGTCTCACTATGTAGCCCTGGCTGCCCTGCAACCTACTATGGAGACCAGGCAGACCTTGAAAGGCGTGTGCCACCACCACACCCGGCCTCCCACTTACTTCTGCAGACAGGGCCTCACTGACCCTGGGGCTTGCTGACTCAGCTCTACTGGCTGAGAAATGAGCTCTAGAAATCTACCTGTCTCTGCCTGCCAGCCCTAAAATGCAAGCTGTTTTGTCTGGCCTTTTCACAGGTGATAGGGATCCACATTCAGATCCTCACACATGGTATGCACCAACCAAGCCAAATCCAACAGACATGCACTTGAATAACTTTTATTATAATAATAAGAACGGAATCCAGGGCCTCACATGTACTTGTTAGTCATGCTACTTGATGATAAAGTTTAATTACTTTCCTCTACATGGATTATACAAATATATTAAATTGAACACAAATTTTTCTCAAATGCAAAAATCCTTAAGGAAAAAAAAAACCCTTACTTCTATTGTTATGGTTCCAAAGATGAAAAAACATGGCAAATTATTATAACAAACATGGCAAATTATTATTATAAAAACCTCAAATTCACTGTTAAAGTACAAAGAACAACATATTAACAGGCAGGATAATAAATAATTTTTCTCCTCAAACATTACCCAATAGGACTGGGTTCATGTGAGGGAATTCAAGTCTGAGCTCTCTGGAAAGGGTCTGGTGATCATCTGCCCTCACAATGCTGGTACAATAGCACCGAGCTTGTGCCCAGTTATCTCCACAGCACAGCTAAGCTCCTCAACTAGTCCATAAGAATAAGATAAACAGAATGAGAACAGATGTAACTTCTCACCACCCAACTGTGAACCAGGGATTGTTGGCCACTTAGCACGAGTTATTTCTGACCTCATGACCTCCTAATATACACACGATTCTTTGTTACTGTTTTACAACTGAGAACACCGAATCTCCAATCCTAGGCCCACACTGTTCAAGGTCTCCCACTCAGCTCATTTTGAATTCTAATTCTTCCTTCCTTTTTTGAGTTAAATTATTAGTCAAGGTTATATGAGGTTATTTTCATGCAAGTCTATAATATACTTTGAGCATATTCCATTTTTATTAAAACATGAAAACAGTACATCATATAATTTTCTATAAGTACTTTTTTAAAATTCACATTAGAAAAGTAGGTCTACTTTAAGAATACTGAGGATAAATTAAGAATTTATTTTTTGAAGAAATTCATAAAATAGGCCCCTGGATTTCTTTTTCTCTCTTTCTCTTTCTCTCTCTCTCTCTCTTTCTCTCTCTCTCTCTTTCTTCCTTTCTCTCTCATTCATTCATTCATTCATTCAAGACAGGGTCTTACTATGCAGCCCTGGCTGTCTTGGAACTCACTCTGTAGACCAGCTTGACTTGAACTCAAAGAGATCCCCCTGCCTCTGCCTCCTGAGTGGTACTATGCTCAGCTTCTTTTAAAAACAAAATAAAACAAAAATATTTTGGTTAACTCAAGAATTTCATATTTGTCTTTTGAACATTTCCATCTGTCTCCCTCATCTTCTCCCAATCTACACTCCATTACACCCACTCAACTTTGTGTCCTTATTTAAAAAAATATCCATTGAGTCTCATCAGTACCGCCTGCAGAGTTAGACCTCCCAGGGGTCACAGCCTTAAAAGGACTAACTCTTTCTCTCCTGGCAGCTGTCAGTTACCAATAGATCCTCAGCTCGGGGTGACACTTCATGTCCATTTCCTGCTACATCACAGTTTTGTCTGGCTTGAGTTTGTGCCGATCTTGTGCATGCTGTCACAACCCATGTGCACTCACATATGAGGCTGCCCTACTGTGTCTAGAACACACTGCTTCCTTGTGGTCATCTACAGCCTTCGGGGTTCTGTGCCCTCCTTTCCAGGTAGGGAATCCAGATTAATCTATTTGTTATGTGTGTTTGTTTGTATGTGCACATGCATGTGCCACAGCAATGGTGTGCAGGGCAGAGGACAACCTGCAGGAGTCAGTTCTCTCCTTCCACCACGTGGGCCTGGGATCAAACTCAGGGCTCCAGGTTGGAAGCAGGTGCTTTTAACCACTGTGGCACCTCACTGGTCCTGATGTTGTTTCTTAAGGAACATCCTAGAATTGGCTTCAAATACAGAAATGTATATTATTCCCAATTGCATTCCTAAACTCCCATTCTAAGAAACACAAATTAAAAAAAAAAATTCAAGGTTTTTCCCCTTCTCCTTAAAGTTCTGCAAAGGGAGACTTATGTCATCACTTATCAGAAAATAGCCTGTAGACTGTAAGTTTATATTCTTGCGTTTCTAAACGTTTAAGAAGTCAACCCTGACATTTTATTCTAGTGTAGGAATTTTAAAGCACAAATTCTGACAGTTGATTTTGCTGCAGCCTAGGCTTCTAACTGCAGCCCTGGAATGGTCCCCAGCGTGTTCTGAGGTCCCCTGACAAGGCACCTTTGGAGAGGACAGGGTGACAAGGACCTAGGGCTAAGCAGGGCGGCCTTTTAGGTTTCTAGTGGAGGCAGGACAGCACAAAACAAACCTTTAAGATAAGGGCTCACCACGCATCACAGGCTGGCCTTGAACTCACAATTTTCCTAATCTTCCCAGTTCAAGGATTACAATGTTGCCACTAAGGGATTCATAGATCAGCCTTGACCCCTCTATTTACTAGATATGAGTTTGAGTTCACTTATAAACTCTCTAAGCCTTTACCACGAAAGGCAAATGTAACCAGATCATCACATTATCCCAGGATAAATGAAGTCATTGTTATTTACTATTTTTAGAGCAGCACTTAACATATAGCAAGAGTTGGTAGCTCCTGAGAAACAGTGATGAACTAATACTCTGCAGTTCTTTCTAAGGACACTTATACCACATAATGATGGTAAACACTTCTGTACATACATACATGAACTTAAAAGAGTCAGTGGGAACAATGTCATTCACATAATAACAAAAGCCAAGACAGGGAGTTGTATATTAATATTCTGAATTAATGTGGCATATGTTGTATTACTTTAATGTGTAAAAGGAGATGAGCAAAAAAATGTAGCTCCATAACAAATACAGGAAGTCACATGCAACTTAACATGGCTTAAGTATTAAGAATGAGACAGACGTCCCAGAGAGTACAAATGTCAGGTTCCAACTCCTAGAATAAACCTTCGATTATTCAGTTAGAGCAGCAACGGATTATCTTAAAACCATGTTTTACACCAGGCACATTGGTACAAACCTGTGATCCCAGCACACAGGAAGCAGAAGCAGAAGTGGGAGGTTCAGGAGTTCAAGGTCATGCTCAGCTACAAACATAGCAAGTTTGAGGCCAGATTGGGCTATATGAAATTGTCAAAAAAAAAAAAAAAAAAAAGGTAACCTTATCAACAACAGAATCCCACTCATAAAAAGTCGCTTTTTGATGATAATAAGAACAAAACTTACATTATAAACTTTGTAAAAATCAATTTTACCTTGGTGGCTTAGTAATAAACATTCATTTTGGTACTGGAAGAGTCAGGAATATTATATAGAATAACAACAGAATAACAGAAAGGAACATGTACTATAAATAGCATTCTACAGGGAAACCAAGAGTCAAACTTATAATAGATTCATACTATAAAATCTATAAACAAACAAAAAGCCCTGGAGTCTCTGTGACTGGGTCTGTCCACAGTAGGGCCACAGGTACTTCCCCCGAGAGAGATGTAAGCAAGACATGAAAAGATACAAGAACTGGACTCCCTTTCTTCTTCCTTTTGAGGTAGGGTTGTGCAGTGTAATTCACGCTAGCCTGCAACTCATTATGTAGCCCAGGCTGGTCTCAAAGTAACAATCCTCCTGCCTCAGTCTCCAAAGTACTAGAATTACAGGTGTGTAATTGTCACACTTGGCAAGAAGTCAGGTTTATAGGAATGGATTATATTTCATATAAAGCAGTGAGCATGAGGATTGAGACAGTACTCTAACATATAAGAACAAACATTAATCATCAATATTCATTGACTCAGGCAATCATTTAACAGCTGTTAATTTCTAGATATCAAACTAGTCACAACAAAACATTATGGTCTAGGGCACATACCTTTATAGGTCTCAGGAGGTAATAAAATTAGTAGTTCATAAAGTCTCTGTCTATAAACTACTGATGGTGTTTTCAAAGAACTTCCATATGTTTTTAGTATTGAAGAAAGCCTTAAAACAAAAGAAAAAGTGTATCTTAAGTGTGTATGTTATATGGAAATGTACAAACATGGAACAGGTCAGCATATAAACACAAGCTAACGACATGAGTGCTAATTTAGGTTTTTAAAGTAAGGTGGCATCTTATGTCCACGTGGGATTCTAGGGATGTAGCTCAGCGGTAGAGACCTGCCTAACAGATGAGGCCTGGGTTTCATTCCTGGTACTGCAATCAGACCAACAAAACAATCCAAGAAGACAATGACAATAATAAGTTTTCCAACATACTTCATAAAGTGAACCTATAAAGTCAGTTTCATTTCAAAGGCCATAAAGTATTTATTATAGCTGAAACCCTAAATTCTAGTATGAAATTTCAAAAGTTACAACTTGGTGTTTGTCAGAAACAAAAATCTATTAGGTAGAAAATTAACTCAATAAATAAAGTAAAATAAACACTGGTTCTATTTTATAAACTTCAGCTTGATAATCACAACTGAATCACTTCTGAAACCCCATGTAGAATAGTTCAGTTACGGAAGTTAAGCTAATCCATTACACTTTTGTGTTTCCTTAAAGCTGGATCAGATAATTATAGCTAACATATGAAAACTATTCTATCCATATTTACATGTTAAAAATGATCAGTTATATTTTTAGAACTCTGCATCATTGACTTGGTCTAAATACATAATATTTAGTTCAGGAGTATCAGTTGTTTCCTTATATAAACTAGGATGATTAGAACAAAATGAGGCTCTAGGAAACCATTTTTTATTGGTTTTTGCTTCCACTGGAGGGAAAGGTTAGTTTCTAATAGACCTTTCTACAAAAATACAAGGAATAAGTTACATAAGTACAGATAAAAGTATAAAATTTGCATAGTTAGACCCAAGAAAGGTACTTTTCAAGGCTAAACGCTTCCTATCCGATAATGGTGAATTAACATTAACCACAAGTGTGTACGGAGGGTGGGGGCAGAGCCACTGAATGATGGCATCAGGTAAAGGGGTGCTGCCAATCCTTAACACCCTAAACCTAACCCCCGAGTGGGACCCTGCAGCCCCACGGTTGCCCTGATGTCCGCCCTCTCACACAGATAATACAGACAGGTAAAAAGTATGATGCAAATCCTGAGCTGATGCAGCAGGACACAAACTCTAAGGTAAGGGCCTGGGACAGGTCTGCAGCCATGTAAGGTAAGGACAAGAGTGGGGCCTTCCAGAACTTGGGAGACAGAGGCAGGCAGATTTCTCAGTTCAAGGCCAGCCAGAACTACACAGAGAAACCTTGTCTTGGAAAAAAAAAAAAAAAACCAGAAAATCTTCTGTTCAGAATTCTTGTTGGTTTACTTTTTGAGAGGCTCTAGGCTGGCTTCAAATGTGGGCTCTGCCAGACTCCACATCCCTAGTGTCTGTTCATCACATTGGGCTTTTTGAAAAAAGAGGTGAGGTGTTCTGTTGCTCAGGCCTGACTCAAACAACCCTCCAGTCTCAATCTCCTGAGTGACTGAGAACATGTGCATGTGCACTGTACTCGAAATCTGTGTTAAACAGATAACTTACACCTGTGTGTCTGTGCGCGCGTGCGCACCTGGTGCGTGTCTGGTGCCTGTGGAGGCCAGGAGAGGTCATCAAGTCATCAGGAGTTGGAGTTACAGATGGTTGTGAGCTGTCATGTCACTGCTGGGAATTGAACCTGGATCCTCTGGAGGAAGCCAGTGCTTTTGACCACTGAGCCATCTCTCCAGCCCACCTGTATGCTTTTTAGAGACAGAGTCTCAACTATGTAGGCCAGGATGACTTGTAATTTGCTTTGTAGCAAGGCTGGTTTTGAATTTGTGATGATCATTTTGCCTCCTATGTGTTGGAATTATAGGAATGCTCTACCTAAAAGTCTATACAGCTTCTATGAAGGGGTAAAGTGCACTTATAGAGTAAATAAGTACTTAAGAGACAGAATTTGACAATTAGGACCATGAGGGGAAAAATCTAGATTCACAAGTGTGTGTGTGTGTGTGTGTGTGTGTGTGTGTGTGTGTGTGTGTG